GTCCCGTTACCTTACTCTGAAGCAGTTAATATGCGAAGCTAATCTGAACGCGTCGCGTACACTTAGCGCTTTAGTTAGACAACTGCCGAGCCGTTTGCGGTTCAACTGGACCGCGCATGCCGCTAGGGTCATCCGGACAGAAAAAAAGCAAAACGTTATTGATTTGACTTAGTCCGTGGATGAAAGCCGACGTCGTCGACACTTACCTGTCTTTTATCTCACCTCCCTTCGGATCAACTGCTAGCACTGATAGAAGTAGTGGCTTAAATCCCCTAGGTCCTGCTGCTTATGCGGACATTCTAACACTGGCCTCCCCTTAAATGCATTTCACGTGGACATCGTTATTTAGATCAATGTAATGAACTCCAAAAACTTAACAACCATGAGCGTCTAGAATTCTGTTGTTCTCATCGATTGTGCCAACTGTGTCTCAAACCCAATCATGACTTTAAAAACTGCAGGTCAAGAAAGTATTGTGGATTTAGTAACTGTAGACTACTTTGCTACGTTGCTACACACTGATCAGGATAAGAAGAACCCCGGGACACTGAATACCGAAGGATTTAGTTTCGCCTTAAACCATGCTTAAAAGCCTACTGTTTCATTTTGTGTATTGCGCCGTTCGGACGCTAGCCTTGGTGGTTAACAGGACAGACGCTTCATTGATCAATTTCTACCTGCTTCAAAATATCAGAGTGCGAGGGTCCGTGAAGACAATGAACCTATGTATCATCACTGGTCGATTCCAGGTAAAGTCGCAGTCACTTAGTGTAACTGTCCAATCGGTAGATGAGGGTGAGGCAGTCCGATTAGACTCTGTCAGGTCAGTCAGAGTCGTCTCTCTGCAGCACAGTAGCTGACGTCTTTTCCACCTCTAGCTAACGTGTATTGTGATGAATGATGATCTTTGAAACACTTGGAACCAACACAAGAGGAAATGATTTCTACATATGGCCTCACTTATGCAACTTATGGTTTATAGAATCGAAGGGGAAGATAGAGCTTTTTACCGGAAGTGGTGACCTATATCTGCACTGCGCTTTGGATCAAAGGCGCGGAACTGCTAGTGATCCGTGTGATTTTAGAACCCCATTGGGCTGGATTATGTTAGGTCCGCGCAACCTGTCCGAGTTTAAGGAAGATCAATCTGCTTCATTTGTAGTGGATCGTCCATAGAAGATAAGTCCGGTTCGTTGCACACCCACCGACCTTCATCATTTATTCGAACACTTGTGTGAAACGGACTTCGGAGGCTTTGGCAGTCCCCGATTGGCCATACCCGTGAACGACAGGCGTGCGCTTAAAATCGTGGAGACTTCCGTAAAAAGAGTCGGCGGTCATTGTGAGATCGCGTTACTATGGCAAGCTGAGAGACCACGGTTGCCAGATAATAGATAGGTCGCACTGATGAGACTCGTACTGTTAAATAAGTGACTGTTGAAGGATGCTGCGCTACTCGAGACACATACAAAGGCAGTGGAAGAATATGTATTTAAAGAGTTCGCCGAACTGGCTCCACTACAAGAAGAACAGATCAAAGGAGAAACCGGGTACCTACCACATCACTCAGTATCACACCTGTGTAAATGGTAAAGTATGAGTAGTTTTTTGCTTGTCTAGCTTCTTACCGCGAGACTTCGCTCAATCAACGGCTTTTGCAAGGTCCCGATTTGTCTAACAATTTAGTTGGTTTTCTCTTGCGGTTTAGATCCCTCTCAATCGCAATCGCTTCCGACATTGAAGCAATGTTCCACCAAGTCAAGGTTCCCAGTCGTAACAGAAATTGCTTGAGGCTTCTGTGGTGGAAGAACAGTAATCATTGCTTGCCTCCTACTGAATATCGCATAACAATACATCCGTTTGGAGCCTCTTTGTCACCTAGTTGTGCAGGTTTTGCTTTACATCAAGCCATTACCAATAATGCAGGCGAATTCCAAAGGTTATTAACATCGCGAGAAGTTGTTTCTACGTCGAAGATTGCATCTTCAGTGTTGATTCTGTTCACGAAGCGGTGCAACTGTCAAGCATCCTACTCATATATTGGCCAGTTGGTGATTTCATTTAACAATGTGGATCCGTAATCGAAGCGAGGTTATCGCGCATTTGCCCGAGATGGAACTGAAGGTTCCCAAAATACGATATTTAACCGACTACAACCGCCTTGACGTATTCTTGGTTTAAAAATGCTACGTCCCCCATGACCGCATAAACTTCAAGCTGGAAAGTTTTGTAAGTATTAATTCGTAGGCCATACTCTCCTTTGTCGCTTCCGTCTATGATCCTCTGGGACGCATCGCACCAGCAGTGTTACCAGCAAAGCTTTCACAAATATTCGTGTGAAGGAAGTTGGATTGGAATGTGCCCCTCTCCAGAGAAGCGCAACGGACTTAAAACCAATGATTGTTGAGCACGCATGGACTTACCAGCCCTGTCCGCAAGTGTGACCAAAAAGTGTTCGCAGGATTGACCTTTAGACATCCCTGAGCGACCAATTTTTGTGTCCCCGGCCTTCCCAATTGGACACCTTTGGGCCTTCTGGTCACTCAAAATCCTTTTTCCAACCCCCTTAACATGTACCTTAAATGCATTTTCCCTGGTTGCAAATACCGCCGACATTAAGAAAAAATCAATTCCCAACTTTTAAGTACACAATAGTAGAACCGTCAAGTTAAACCGGAAAAGGCTTTGGGTGACCAAAATTCGTCCCGATTGGGACGTCTTTCGGTCACTCAGGATGTGTTTTTAATGCATCCTTGCTGTTACCGGGGCCCGTCCATAGCAGCCATCAAAGCTAGATCTCTCTGTCTGGAGCAGCCCGGTGAAGATTGGTTGTATGTCGCTGTAACCCATTGGCTACCCAATGAGAGTAAGCCAATGGTATCGTTTTATCTTGAAGTGGACCAATCAAAATGACCTTCCTTGAAGCCCTCCAGTAAGTACACTACTTGATTAGCCAACAAGCGAGTTTTTTGCGCATCTAGTAGTTGCTATTGTCAGGAGCTTTCAATTAGGTCTTTCTCTCATGAACTATTTATTTTGACCCCATATTATACCTGTAAATTCTGTCTTCCGGGTGTTCCATATAAGTTCCGCCAGAGGCCTTGGTCTTCTGATTTAGAAAGTGGCTGTATCGTGACCAGAGTGGCTGCATCGGTTATCTGTACTATCAGCGGAAACAACACTTACCATATACCGTAGAATGCATTTTTCTGGTTGCAAATACCGTCAACATTAAGCAGAAGTCGATTCCCAAATTTTGGATACATAATACAATAGCCGTTAAGTTACGCCGCAAATTTTTTCGAGTGACCAAAATATATCCAATTGGGACGGCCAAGGACATGAAAATTGGTCACTCAGGGAAGCCCAATGGTCACTCGCGCCGAATGAAATTACGATGTTTTTTTAAAATGTAACGCATTTTAGGCAAAGAACGGTGGTGGTACGTATGTACAATCTTATTTAACGGCATATGTAGATATATCTGTGCGCACAGATGGACGGCCAGCCGTCCAATTTGGGCGTGTTTTTAGTCATTCGCAAAGTTAAATGTTGATATGAAGGTAAATTGAGGAGGCCGGAGGCACAAAAATTGGTCGCTCAGGGACGTCCGAGGGACACATTTTCTGCATTCGGTGTTTCTTCTCACCTTACTTGGTTTTCTTCTCTTTCTAACCGAACACAGTCAACTGGGCGATGCCTTTCCAAAAGGGCATCCGTAACCAGCGGAGTGTTCCAGGGCAGTTCCTCGGACCTATTCTGCTTTTGCTTCACATAAATGACGTCTTCCAGATCTTCAGACATGGCACTTCGTCTATATTTGCGGACGACATTAAAGCTCTTTCTCATTTGACCCCAGCGACCTACTTATTGGCATCCCTCATTCAAAGCGAGATCTACGCTCTCGCAACTCGGTATGACCTATGGAAATTAGAATTCACACCAACATAATGCATTCTACTCTCCTACCGGTGCTCTGTACCTCCTGACAAATTAACTTAATGGTGCATTCCTAGATAACCACCCCACCTTGCGCGACCTCGGTGTGCATTACTCTAGCTCGCTGAATTTTGCTGCACAATCGAGCTATTCCTCTGCCAAAGCCAGATCTACCATTGGCTATATACTCCAGTCAGTGAGCTTGTTAGAATCTCAACTCGCACTATAAATATATACCAGACCTATACCAGAATACTGCTCGATTGTTCTTACTAAGGTAAACGTGATAGGACGATGATGAAGGAAGTTCAGCGATCGTTTACTAGGCACCTTCTAAACTCATCTGCGCTTTATTAAGGCCGCTGGAAGCCGCTTGAATTAGAACCACTGGTCGCGCAGACTTAAAACCAACATTGTATTCCTCCATAAGCTCATCAAAATCCCGTACCCAAGCATCAACTGATTTTTCAACCGATGGGCGATACACGTTATCCTCTACGTAGAAGGCCTCATGCTCTAACTACAACGTCTCATCCGTATTAACTTCCTCTATAGATATGCGAACGTATGGGATAAGCTAACGGAAGTTGTCAGGGCATCTGAAGGTGTTATACAATTCTCCTCTGAAGGTGCAAAAAAGCATCACTCAGCATAGCTCTATGCATCGCCGAGGCACGCAAACCATCGCATCACGGTAAGGTCCAGCGTCATTGCAATGGCAAAGTGTGTTTGGTGCTTAGTCCTCTGCGGTTCAGTGCCGGATTATGACGTGGGACAGTGAAAGTCGGTTAGAATCAGTTTCACAGATGCCACCTTAGTATAGCACAATAGTCAGCTGTTTGAACATTTGGTCGTTAACGAGATGTGGGCGACTTGATCCTGCGTGTTTACTTAAAGCGTTTCAGTAATACTCTACACCCCCTTCTTTCTTATGAATACTCATTTGCTTGCTTATTATGATTGTACGGTGGCGATACATCAGTCCAAACGGTTGACTTATTACTGTTGATGGCGATCATCTTTAATTATCCTATGCCATAATTTTTACCGCATCTCTTTCAGCGCATTTGGATTTCTATGAATTTCGATGCACCCCCTCATCAGTAGGCTGGTGGTGGTCATGTACTTAATCCTTTCCACGTACTGCTCACCTTTTAATCACACTAACTGGGGTGATTATTTTAATTTCCACATTAATTCGAATACTAAAATATCTTACCTTGATACTGTGAAAGAAATGTTCCACTTCGCTTATTCGAACTACATGAACCACTCATTTCCTTTCGATGAACTCGACCCTATCCACTGCGTTGGGAGAGGCTACGATTACGCTAACCCAGCTAACATAAATGTTAATGATGCTCTTGGGGATTTTCACTTAACCTTAATTGACTCACTGGACAGTTTAGCGGTAAGTGTCCACTTCGCCTTATTTACCGTTTTAGATCATGGGATTGACGGATGACTTTAAGCATGCAGTTAACTTGGCTATTAGTCATTTATCCTTCGATCGAAACGTTCGGGTGCAAGTTTTTGAAGCGACTATCAGGTACCTTCGCCGTCACGTCTTCACACCGCGTCTTACCTGATTCAGGGTCCTAGGGGGTCTTTTATCGGCTCATCTCATGATTACCGATCCCGCCAAGCCTTTCGGTGACATCTATCCAATCGGGTACTCAGGCGAACTCTTGGCCTTGGCTCACGATCTTGCAAACCGTATGTTGAATGTTTTCGATGTAAGTTGGATTTTTCAGTATTTTTTACTCAAATTCCTCATTTTTCGAAGTTGGTCGCTGAGCTCACAATATTATTATCCTCTTTCAGAGCTCCATCAGAATTCGGCGCCAACAATGAGACGCCTTTGTCTTGTGCAGCACTTCCCTGATTGCTGCATTATCTCTTGTGTCTAAGAAAGTGGTGCTCTGCGCTTCATTCTAATACTGCATTTTAGCTGGCTGTGGCGAAGTCGTTCAGAAATTCAACTAACTGGGCAGCTTTATCGGCACCTATGGATTAGGAGATGAGAATACGTACCATATAGCAAAACCACCATCAGCAGCAGCAGTACATCATCCATTTCAACTGATGCTTCGCTGCCATACAATCATGGTGACTTACGGAGCGTAGAATAATAGGAGAGAAGTGGGAACCTAGCGTAAAATCTTAATGTCCTAAATTAACATTCAAGGCCAAGGCGCAGACACTTTGTGTCAACAACACAGTCACAAACAGCTATGGTGTAACGATAAGGCGGCATCGGCGAGACAGCTTCCTTGCGGCTTTCACTGTCACGCGTCATAATCAGCCACTACCCCGCAGATAACTCAGCATTAAACACACTCTAAACAGGCAGTCCGACTAGGAGGCGGCAGCAGAAGCGCCACTGATGGCGGTTGCGCGCTATGTCTTCTAAAGTCTAGAGCCAAGCACAAGGCGAGTCATGTGGACTCCAGTCCGGAAGGTGAAACGGACCAACGGCACCCAGTTTGGGTGTCAATAACTTCATTTCCCGCTGCCAAGTCAACTTCTGTCCACCTCGAGCTTTCTGCCACCCTACACTTGGCCGATTAAACAAGGCCCTCCTGGGTAAGCCTTTGCCGGGCCTACGTAGCTCGTGCCCGAGCCAACGCAACTTATTTAGTGCTACCTGTTGTTCTAAGGAACAAGCTTGGTTCTTACTCCCTAGTACTCGCCTACGCACATCATCGTTGCGGACACATTGGTGCCATCCGACGCCAGCAATGCTCCGCAGACAACGATGATCAAAAACTCCAAGGCGCCTCAAGTCATCAGACCGAAGGGCCAGGCCTCACTCCCATAGAGCAGGAGGGCTCTCACTGTGGCCTTGTAAATATTGCCGAAAGGAACCCCCTTCTAATGGCACAAATGTCACAGATTCAAGAACGTAGTTCCAGGAGTAGGCTTGGAACCGACTGCGAGTTCATGATTTTGGAAGATTTTGAATACGAAGCGTTTTTGTAGGTTTTCTATTGTGGCAACTTTTCACTCTTGAAGTGAGGGCTTTTTCAGGCCAGATGATTCGTTACACAGTTGGCTTAGCTTTTTGTGGCAAAGTAGAGTGAAGATCGCGACAAATAACATAAACCAGTGGATAATAACATAGGTCAAATTATCACTGGTGTAACGACAGTCATCGAACGTTCTAGATTGATCTGCGCCACAAGTCGTTCACATGTGAGGCATTACTCTTCCCTCTGCCGCTGATTTACGCTCCTACCTGAGTCCGTCCGCTGACACCTTTTTCTTGTGATCGGGTTAAAACAGCTCACCACGCTTTGATAACTCCATCCCGTCCTTTATGTTCACACAAATATTAGTCGTAGCCATCTCAAATAAACGTTCGCATGTTGTTCGTATTCCTCTCTTAGTTATCTCGACATTGCCCTCGTCGATTTCGTGCCCCGCGTGTAGCCCAGGACACAATTCGTGTCATTCCTCTTAGTCTTTACTCTTTGCCAAAATAATTGAGCCACTTGTGTACTGATTCACCTGGCCTGAAAATCTTTTGGAAACAGGGCATTTCAGGCCGAGAGAAATCCCTTTTTGACGCCACAGATGATGCAGATTCAAGAAGACAATTCTAGATTTTGCAGTACCTGAACTAATTTTAGTGCTTATTTGTCTATCCTTGCTGATGCAGCTGCCAAGGTAAGTGAATTGGTCAACCCTGTTGAATTCCTCCCTATCAAGGATCAATCGGTCATCACATGTTTGGTGCTCCTACAGCAACACTGCACCTTGAAGATGCGAAGTGCATGGCAGATGATGGGACCACTAGAGAGGTTATTCAGTGTTGATTTGGCCACCCCAACCTCGTTAAACAGCAAGACGATATCGTTCACAATAGCTTTTTGTCAGGCACCACGTCTACGCCTGCATCGTGAGACTGCAAGGGAACACCATGATGGAGTTTACGGCGAAGTTAGGCAAAAGTGGGGAAATTGGACAACCCTAAAGAACGCCACTTGTTGTCGGAAAGATATCTGACAAGTTACCGTAGACGCGACCTGCGGTGTTCGAGTACGGGGCACGTAAAATGTTCACACGTTTCCGCACAAATATCTGGAATAGAATGCATCGATCAACTGAGTCGAACACAATCTTTAAGTCCAGGAATACAGCTATTGTCGGTTTGCGCTGCTTTAGCACCTGCTACAAAGTGAATATATAGTCTCTTTAGTCCAACATCTTTCGGTAGTGGAGCGCCGAGTGCAAATTGAAGCCAGCAGCTTTAGCGTAATACCACAGTAGTTAACACAGTCAGTACGACTGCCTTTGTATATTGCTACTATGATCGACTCACTCCAGTTAGCCGGGATGGTCTCTTCCTCCCAGACATCTTTGAACGGGGTGGTCATTGCTTTGCAGAAGACCTCACCACCATCCTTAAATAGTGCGAGTGTGGGGGAATTCGGGTCAGCTGTACGAAATCGCTTAAGGTTTCTGATTGCGTTTCGGACCTCAGCCTCCGATGGAGCCTACACCAACTGGCAGTGGCTCTTCCTGCACCATCTGGGTAGTAAAGGGTGCAGGAGCTGAATCGGTGCATCCGCGCTGTCTCTGCTTGTCTCGCTAACGCCTGGTTTCCTGGGACCAGTGATGCGGATCAACTGTTAGAGCTTGCGATAACTGCATACTGCTCCCCCATCCTTCACTTCTTCAACCCTACTAGTCCACCAGGCTTCCTTTTCAGCATACAGGCTGCTGTTTAGTTCGCGCCTATTAGTCTATTTGATTTATTATTCCGAGTTGGCCAGGATTTTTCTTCTGGATTCTGAAAGGTTTACGAACGTCTCGGTATCCAGCGACTTGTGCGGTGACGATTGATAGTGTCGTAAGCAAAGTCCCGCATCGCGCATGGCGGCGAGATCCAATTCCCATGAAGCTCAGTATATTTAAGGTGAGATAGCCTAAGTTCGATACACAGGGCATCGTAGTAGATTTGCCCGACTGGTTAAGTCCATAGAAAAACGACATAGTACGAGAGCATAATCAGAGTCGACATAAATATGAAACCACGCCACTTGTAACTTATGGCAACACGAACAATTTGGGTCCATCGCTGGCCAGCTATAGGTGGACACTAAGTGGCACTTCGGCGCTCACTGTGTCTACAAACGATACTGCCAGAAAGCAACCCAGGTGCTACGCACACAGCTGTAACTATGGCGCTTACTGTTAATCGTTTTTTTCCATACTTGCCTTTTTCTTTGTCCTGCCTCCTTCCGCTTAGCTTTTCCCTCAACCACGACCTCGTCAATGCATAATATAGAACAAAGCATAGTATTCTTCATTTTTTCGCTACTATAGACTGATTGTTTCTCACTTCTAGCTAACGTGAAATTAATGAATGGTTATACTTTACATGCGATTGTTGACTATAACGGTATTGGCTTGTAGGACGTTACTCACAACCCTCTCATAGTGATTTTATTTTTCATATTCTTCTTTCATCTCTTTCAGTATATCTCTACATTTAAGTTTCCATGGCATGTATCTTCTATTTTCGCAATCATCGTGGGCTGATCTCCCATTATTTGGCTTATTATACGCTTGTACGCTACCTTCATTGTTGTTTTCATATCTGTAGCGAGCTGTCCCATGTAAAGGAGGGAAGTGCTTATATCGAACCAGCTTTTAACATACTGTTTGATTTTACGGTTTTTCTCTTCACTGACATAAATGGCTTCCGATGTACATCTATTTACAGAATACCTATTATTGCCTTCCGCTTTTTGATAAGTGATAGCATGAGTTAAGTACTTTGTGAAATAGCATCTCACAAACTTCCTCGACTATCCCGGTAGTGTACCACAGTATTGCCGCTTGACACCTTTTGCTTTCTCTTCCCATGTGCATAGCGAACCTAGCATATACGATTACAAAGAACACATGATTGGACCACGGGGATGCTAATCTTCAGCAATCTAAAAGTTCCCATTTAATAGAATAAATCAAGTGAGACAGATTCTGAGTAAAGGATTCTTTTCCATAATTCTCAACAGACTCAACCATTACATGATGATGATTATGTGCTAAATGTGTCAGATTGGGCTGCGTATTGAGCAGAATGTTTAATTCCAACGGGAACCAATAAGTACATCACGAGGCCATTAAAAGTGGCACTTTATGTACAGGGGCAAATCACTTTTACAAAGATCAGCTGGGGCAAAAATCAAACGAAGGTACAGCAGAAGTTGTAGGCCACGGTAAAGGACGTACAAACCGTTTTTTATGCACAACTCCGGCTTGGAATGGCGGATAAAGATAGCTTCCGCAGTAGATAAAATAAGCTTCCGGCTTCCGCGCGAGAATTGCTCAGGGCTAGTATAAATGACGTTGAAGTCCTTTTCCGTCCCTGCGTGACCGCACTCCAAGAGGTGCGACATGACGGAGCTCTTACAAGACCTCGCTTCGCCTCTGTAAAACCACTACGGAATCTTTTCGCGAATCCTATGAGATAGGTGCCTCATACTACGACCCGCGTATCATGCACTACAGGAGCACGAGTACTAATAGACAAGCATTGATCGAGTCACAAGAGATAGCCTGTCTTTTAAAGGTTTTACGAACGAAGGCTTGTTGCAGTATGCTATGCGTAGGCGAGCCGCGAAATATGTCTTTTCAACAGCGTCTTTCAGGTGTTTGAATAGGGCATCAACCGCACTGTCGCCTTTGAAAGGAAAATGTACACTGAGTTCTTTCTTGGGTACACCTATCCCCGGTGGCTTTTTTCTGCGTTCTTTCAAATATTTAAGGATGAATTTATCTGGATACCTACTCGCTCTTAGAGCTTCACTGATTCTCTGCAATTCCTTGGTGTTGGTGTCCGGTGTGCAAATTCTCTGTGTTCGGAAGGCGAGTGCGGAGTAGATTTCGTTTATACTGTAGTGGTGCCGCACTATAGAAATGGATGTACTGTCCAGTCCAAGTTGGTTTTCTATACACTGCTCTGATGCACGATCCATCTGTGTTTTTGTTGATGTCAACGTCCAGGAATGGTAGTTGATTTCCGGACTCGTGCTCACAAGTGAATTGTAGATTCTGCTGCGCGTCATTAAAGGCTTCCAACAGTTTCACAGCCTACAGTTTCTATTTGGAGTGTATAAATGTGGGGTACACATAACGTATATACATCTCCATTTCGTTGATGTGCGTTCTTAATGCGTTATGCTCCAATTTTGCCGTAAAGACATCTGCTAGACCGGGTCCCGTAGCAACTCCACCAATTTGACGATACATTTCCCCGTTGATGATGAACTACACATTTAAGGTGCATCTGAGTAACAATTCCTTCTGGAGGTTTTCCGGGAGATTTATAGGTACATTCAGTTGCCGCACTAGTTCGCAAACCTATTCCACTATTTCCATTAACGGAATATTCGTGAACAACAACTGAGCGTCAAATGATGACGTCCATCTGCTGTTAAGGTTTAGTTCCCTTATCTTCTAAATGGACTCGAAATTGTCTTTCACGCAGTAAGTACACATAATCGTCATCATGTAATGTTTGAGTCTGATGCGAATTGTCAAAAAGAATTCTATACTCAGAATCTGCCCACCTTGATTCATTTTATTGAACACGACATCTCCAAGTATCGGTTCACGATATCTTGTGGTTTCTCGAGCTTAATTCTTACATTCTAAGCAGTCAAGGTGGTACGCACTAGTGTTCCAATTTCATACTTCATCTTATCGGCATAGTATCATGAATCCTTCATGGAATTGACGGAGTTTTTTTTATCTCACCACTTTTCCATGTATCAACAATCCCCTTGCGGGAACGTAGTTTTAACTGGAGCACACAACAGGACATGTCTAGGTATTAACTGGTAAACTGCATGGTTCGTCCCATCACCTATAATCGCGCTACAAGCGTTTCGCCGTTACTGCCACATTTAGTGAAGAGCGCGTAATCAACAGTGCTGACCATTTAATCATCTTTGCTAGCAATCGGCTTGCTGCCCTTCGTACAAATTCGTAAGCGTTCCTCACTTACTTGTCATAGTGTTAGTGGTCGAAAGAAGCTTTCCATAAGCGCTGCGAACACCTGCAATATGGGACATACACTATCCACTGTTGGTCAAGCAAGGACACTAGGCTTACGCATCTTTGATATTTTACACATCCTTGGTTTAGATGCGGATCTCCTGTGCGTGCTACAGCTTCTACATAGTCACAGCCAACAACTCTTCACAGCTCACAGGGACCCATTAATATTTGTTTTATTCTTCTTCGTTACCGATGTAATTCTTCAGGTGTTTATTGCTGAACTAGTGCAAACAACTCACTCTGGAATATTTTGGCTTAGACCGGAACGCTGGAAATCAACCTGTGACAAGCCACGGCACTATTGAATACTGAATACTGTATTATAGAGCAAGTAGAAATGAATTTTGTAAAACTTTCGAAATATGATGAAAAGCGTTATAGCAATTGTTGGCCGTGAATATCGTTATCGTTCTCATGTAACATTTAAAATATTTGACTAACGGTATTGCAGAACTCACAAATGTGACATGTCATCGTAAGTGTGAAATCGTACTCTGAATCGAATAGTGGTAAAATACAAATCTAACAACGTTTTGAACTGCTACACAGATGTTGCCTGCATCACATGTTCAGGCAAACTGTTCCAAATATTTACCACTCTCCTTTCGAAGCACAGTGGGTGGAGAACTCGCTTTACATCCGGAACGACAAGTTTGTATCTGTGTCCGCGTGTGCTGCATGGCCCTCATAAGTGCAGCATTCGCTTCAGCATTGAGAAGTCATCGAGATGTAGAATACGGTAGGTCATAATGAGGTAGACTCGCACCCGACGGTTGGACAAGGTGTAGAGTCCTCGTTTCTCGCACCGGCCTTCATACCCCAAGCCACGTAAACTCGGGATGAGTCTGGTAGCAACGTGTTGGACCCCCTCGATCTTTATGCATTGCCTCGGATAATCGGAAAGTAGGCGGGCCAACCGTACTCTAGCATTGGTCTAATGGTGGCAACCTCTTCAGACCATGTACCGAAGCTACGTTTGAGCGCCCAAAGCATGCGCAGTCCGTTACTATATAGCATATTCGTGTTATCCACGGACTTCAAATCGTAGCGTGAGAGTACACCTAGGTCCTTCACGGAATGTGTGTGATATAGCGATCAGCCGTCAAGGGTGTAGGTTCAGCCTACAGCACCCTTCCCCAGGCTCATAAATACAGACTAGGCCGCGTTGACTGGGAGATGAACTTCTGCAGACCATGTGCATAGACGGTTGAGGTCTTGCTGAAGTAGGCCACAGTCGTCGGGAGCGTCAATTTCTCTCCAAATCTTCATGTCGTACGCAAACAAGGCACACGGCGACTGGAGAACCTGAGGTAGATAGTTGATGTGGATCAGGAACAGAGTGGGCCCCAGCACAGGGCCTTGAGGCATGCCACTTGCAGAGGGATACCAGTCAGTTAGATAATCGTCGACCTGTACCTTCCACTTTCGTCCAACAAGAAAGTCGCGGTGCAGTGAGCCACCGACACCACATATCCTGAGTTTATGAAAGTGAATCTCATGGCTGACCTTGTCGAACGCTTTGCTGAAATCGATGAATATCACATCGACAGACTTCCCCTTGCTTATTGCCTTCAACCACTCGTGCTTCATCACAAGCAAGTTTGTAATGCATGAGCGCCCTTGCATAAAACCGTGCTGTGCGGACGTCAGGACCTCTTTTGGCCTGTAGTTGTCTACTTTGCTAGGGTCGCCGCCTTTCGGAAAAGGCTTGACCACCGAACAATTCCCCTTCAATCGGCAGCGAACCTTCGGACAGCGACCTGTTAAAATGGTCAGTCACGACAGGAGAGATGATGGCCAAAAGTGACTTAAGACTCAGTGAGTGAAGCCCATCAGGTCCAGCACGTTTGGGGCCTTCAACGCTGGCGAGTAGTTGACATACCTCTTCAACGCCGCGATCCAGACTGTCGAGTTCGGTAAAAGTGGTACACGTCGAACTCGTAACAGACATCTGGTCATTTGCAAATACAGAAGCAAAGTGCACCGCCAACGCAGTCGTACGCTCAATGCTGGAAGTTAGGGGCTGTCCATCCGGGCCATCCAGCACTGGCACATCACCTGCCGGCTTTAGGCGTCGCTTCACGTAAGCAAAGATTCTCTTCGGGGCGGTCTTTACGGCGATTGCAAGCTGCTCTTCGAAATGTCGGCGCTTATGCCTTTTTGCACTGTTGCAGTGGTTCCACTGACTTTTATACCCTTCGTAGTCATTGGCAGAGCCAGAGGGGAGGTATTTGTCCCACGGTCTGCGCCGTCTCCGAGCCAGATTTCCATACTCCTTGTCAAACCAGTGAGGCTTAATCGCTCTAACCTTCCGACATTTCAAGGGCACAAATTGGGAACATAATGATGTCAGTCTCTCTTTTATAAATATCCAACAGTCTTCCATAGATGCAGCTTGTGACAGAGACCAATCCAGTTGGCTCGCGGCTCGAGCTAGGCCGTGGAAGTCCGTTTTCCAATAGTTGTAAGCTGGTTCCAGCGGATGTGAATATGGCATAGGTAATGCCATATCAGCTATGAGCACTGAGTGGTCGCTTGTAACCAGGGTCTCCAGGATCCGAACGTCACGTACTCGTTGTTTGTAGCTCGTTGACATCAGGTCGAGACAGGACGGGGTTGAGCGTGTTGTTTTACGTGTTGGCTGTCATATGTGTTGCGATGCACCAGTTACGAGTACCAAATCCACGAACTTTGCTTCAACCTCACTATGTCCAGGAATCAAATGCACATCAAGCCATCATATTCGAGGACAGTTAAAATCGCCCATAAGTAGAAAGTGTGTACGACTCATGTGGCTTCGAAGATGAGGCGGCCAATTCCAACAACGACTCAGGGGGCTGCGATAGACTGCGCCCACAAGTGGTTCTCCGCGCCGGAGGCGGATGGATCACCACAGTAGTTCATACAAACCATCGTCACTTCGCTAGGTGCTCACAAGTCTCCCACGCGGGGAAGACCGGATGTAAAGCAAGACACCTTCGCGGACATTCGTTAGTCCATCGCATCAGAAGCACGAGTAACCGTTGAGTTCAAGTTCCTGCGTGTATAACTCTGAATGCAGCCATGTTTCTGCGAGTCCCACCACGTTTGGCCGTTCAGACGCAACGAAACAGCAAAGCTCATCGCGCTTGTTACTAACACTGCAAACGTTTGTGAAGGCTACTCGAAGGCCACATCAGGAGCCGCCTGACGTGCTTGAAGTGTGAGCAGCCTGTTTATCCTGATTCGCAGATTCTTGGAACCCACCCAAAAATTTACGATACGTTGATTTGTTTCACGCTCACCAATACGTCTTTTCAGCTAAATGATGGCAGACTTGAACCGCTCCCTGTCTACTTGGTTCAGGTCTGGACGAACATCGATCTACAAACCTTTCAGCCTACTTAGGCGAGACATGATCAGTCTTGGACTGACTTCATCCACGAAAGTGATCCTCATAGGCCGATTTTATTGATCACCTTGCTTTTCGACTCCAGCAGCGGCGCATTTTCCATTTCCGCTAAACAAAACACTCCTATCTTTTCATTTAGGTAGTTTGTTATTGTGTAGTTTTTCTCTACCTTACACAAGTTTAATGTGAGATGTTTTCAATATTTTGATCTTTAGACCTCTCCATCAGGACTCCCATATCCTCGTGTCTTTCTCAACAGTGGCCTCAAGGACAACACTACTTCAGAGACATGCCTTGCAGGCGCTGGTTCTCTACTTCTTGAGTTTGGCAGCCTTAGTGCGCTTTTAAACGATTCAACGTATGCATCCATCTCCAGGCGCGTCGTCCTCAACCTGTGGAGTCGTCGTTCCAGCGTGACTGGTTTGCTCGGTGAGTGTCTTGTCCATTCTCCACTCTGCCCGTTTATCGCTTTCGAGTGTTAACGTTTGATCACTCTCCACCTTACTCCACCTCTGAGTGATCACTGACTGGAAGTTTGATCGCACCAACGCTCGTCATCACTTTATTCTGTTACACTAGACAGTTTTCGGTGATTTAACGTACTGAACTACTTCTCTATTACGAGGCTAAATCAATAAGTGAACAGTTGTGTTACTGGAATATCAGCTGGCTGCTTGATTATTTTTTTGGTCGACTTGATCGAATCCACTATCACACGTTTGTTACTGGAGCATTGTTATCTGGCAGCGTTCTGCACTCTTTCAACCATGTTTCACACTACCATTGTAGTCCTTTGAGCGTCACATTCCGTTTTTTCCAACTGCCTTCAGAGCCACTCTTATCAAACAAGTCAACGGTTAGGGATCACAATAACTGTCTCACAATGCAATCCTCTTCGGAGGTTAGGGAGAGGTTGATGGCCCTCTTAAAACCTAGCCATGTGAGACAACAGCTCTACGGGTTATAAGCTCACAGCTCGATTGGCGTAGAGTACGAGCACCACGCATTATCTCCGACGGTGGGAAGGCACGTTCCGGTGCTCAATGGTTTGCTACCACCCGCCTCAAGCCAGGCAGCCGTTGGTGAAATTGGTGCAAACCCACCAACTCCCACCTGCGGCTGGCCGTGGTCGCAGGTGCGTAACGAAATACGGTCGCAAAACACATGTGAATTGTTCCAAATCTGTAAAGGCTGTACGTGGAAGGCCTCAAGCAGATCCTAATGGGTAACTGCAATCACACTCCCGAGATGGACTTGCTCCCCACTGCCTTTTCGGTCAGACTATTGAACCAAATGCTCCGGGTGGAGTACCTCCACATCCCCCACCTCCTTGTGGGTCAGACTGTTGTGTCAGAGGCTAGAAGTAGGCCGCCTAGAACAAACCTCTCGGAATGAAAAGCCTGAGAGTATCATCTGCCCTCTCGACCACATCGACAATTCCTCTTCTTATTTTTCCCCTCTCAACTCTCTTCCCTGTCTATTGAGCAAGAATCTGCCAGACTTAACGGCCTCTGCCATCGATACTCGCATAACCCATCAATCAAACCACGAGTCTCATTTCACATTGCTTTTTTGACGTCCGCACTTCGAGTTAGATCTGTCGACAGACAGCACTGAATTTCACTCTTCATTCTCTTGGTATTGATGTGTATTGTGTCTCCGTGACACCCATACAAGATAACAGCGTTATAACGAATCATCGGCTCCCTGGTTGTGAATCTGATGACAGTGACTACACTCTTCGCATCTCTGGTGATAGTGAGTCAGTGGCTCAAGGTATTTACGGTGTTGGTATCGCCCTCAGCAGACATGCTGAAGGTAATCTACTCGATTGGATACCCGTGTGTGCGGTTCGACTTCGAACTTCTATTGGGGTTAATGAGCACCGTATGAAGACAAGATGTCTTTTCATCACCGTTTCTGCTCCTACTGACTGCAACTCGGAAGGTACCAATGATGATTTCTGCTACTATCTTTCGTCTCTTCTCCGGCTGGCGAAGATTATCAACATTGCGATTGTTGCTAGTGACTTGAATGCTCAATTGGGTAGTGTTTCAGACTGGACAATATCTGGGAGGGCATTTCGGAGTCGGTGCACGCCAAACAGACAATGGTGATCGATCCATGTAACTGTGCGCCTGCCCTAATGTTTATATTAGCAACACTGGTTTCCAGCACAGACGTTCACACCGCGTCACCTGGCGCCCACCGAATTCCTCAGATGACCTGGACCCATATTGCCATCTACAGGTGGCGCACATCAGTCCAAGACTGTCTGTCAATTTGGAGTACATGGTTGGATTCCGACCATGCTCTAGTGTGCGCACGCTTGGCGATCAATCTTCCCACTTCAAAAAAGCACTTATATCCTAACCTTAACTGTATCCTGAACTCGCAGTCTGCGGTTCAGTAATATCATAGCGAACTGGCCCACCAATTGTCAGTGATGAATGAGGTTTGTGAGTCGAACGCTGACGGGGATCGTCTCAACTGTGCCATGAAGAATGCCTTTGACGCTTGCTGTGCACCCGACTTGAGACGTCGCAACTGAATAGATCTCTGAAGCATCGATCAGTTTGATCGAAGCGCGTAAACTGGTTCAGATGGTCACTGGGTTTCAGCATATTCTTAACTCTCTGAAATGACGTCTGACAAGGAGTCTTCGGGTTGATCGTGAACGTTGGTGAGTTGCAACGGCCTGTGAGAGAGAGAATGCTATTGCGAACAGCCGAGTGCTAGTGCATTTCATCCGGAACACGGATCCAAGACAGCCACCAGTTGGCGAGACAGCCGAAAAAGATGTACAGTTGATCCATTCTCTGCGTCGTCCACTAGCCCATTGGGCGAAATATTTTGAGGAGCAGTTCAGCAGGCCCGCTGCGACATTGCCGCTTCTCGAATCACCTGAGCCGACGTGGGAAGTAGATGTCACATCTCTAACTCTGGAGGAGATTCGGCATGAACTTTCCGTGTTGAAACGAAACAAGGCTCAGGGACCCGGCGACCTCCCATTTTTGTTGAAAGATGGCGGTGACTCTTTGTTGACTGGACTTGCATCTCTTTTTAACATGATTTGGGACACTGAAGAAATGCCTTCAGACTGGTGACTATCAACTGTCGTGCGCATCTTCAAGAGGCGTCAGCGTACATTATCGAAAATCATCGAGGCATTAGCTTTATTTCCATTACCTCAAAACTTTTCGCGAGTATCATTCTTCGATGACTTACTGGTCGCCATGAGGACGAATCATTGAAAGCCAGGCTGGCTTCCGCCCTGGCCTTGGTTACATCGACCACATATTTACTCTTCTCCAAGTTTTAGAGCAGACACATACAGTCGACCGACTAGGGCAGTTTTCCTTGACTTGAAGACCGCCGTCGACTCTGTTGACCGCGCCATCTTGTGGTACTGCCTATCCATGAAGGGCGTGCTTTTCCATTCTGAAGTCCCCATACCGTGATTCCCGATGCCGTGTAAAATTCTATGGGGAACTCTTTCCTGAGTTCCCCAAGGTCGTCCTATATCACTTTTCCTCCTCAACTTTGTTATCGAAACGATCAGGAATGAATCGGTTCTTTCAGACTATTGTAGAGTAAAGATTCTGCTTGGCGACCGACTGACAAACCTGGAGTATGCGCGCGGCATAGTTCTCCTTGGGTCTGATGCAGTGGCTATGCAAACACTACTACACAGACTTCAGCATGTGCTGTTGCAGCATTGGACCGATACACCTTCGGTTATAGCTATCATCAAACAGCCACTGGAAGCGGTGGATCAGTTCCCTTCCCTTGGTGACTGTCTCAGGTCTGGTGGTCACAACATCGGGAAAGTCACTTCGCGTATCAGCAGGGCGCGTGTGACTTTCCAGAGACTCAGTCATTTATGGAGACGGCGGGATATAAGTTTGTCAATGAAAGGTTGGGTGTATAACTGCGATAAAGCCAGTGTTACTGTATTGATCGGAGTCATGGCCAGTTCGCGGCCAAGACATTAAACGCTTGGCCGTGTTTGACCACCAGTACTTGCGAAGCATTGCTCACGTTTGGTGAGAACACCGAGGAGCAATGCTGGGGTCAGCCAATTGGTTGTTGGCCAGAAGCCTTCTGGTGCCTCTCGAGTGTTTGCTACATCTTAGTCGCTTGCGTTGGCTAAGCCATGTCCTCCGTTTGCCCGTTAATCAGCTTTTTCGGGGTGCATTGTACGCCGTTAGGGCACCAAGTTGGGAGAAATCGCGAGGTGACTATTCCATGATGTGGCATAGAGGCATGAAGAAATTGACTGAGAAACTTGGTCAGGCTGTTGCGTACCGTCTTTGTGGTGGAGGCCTCGGGACAACCCACACCAATGGTTGGAGACATTGTCAGACATGGCGCAGTCACGAAGTCAGTGGCATTCCTGCATCCGGATTCTTTCATCTGCTTGCTAATTTTCGTTCCATTCTGATTTGTCCAACCCATTTCCTTCTTTCTTTCGTTTTCTCTACATCCTCTTTGCATCCAATCCCACTATCTTACCGGAGTTGTATATTGTTATTCCGGTGATGTGAGTCGTGGCAACTGGATCCATCGCACTTCGGTGCTCGGATCATAGTTGATCAACAACTTGATTGAACTGTTTTACTATCCTGACAGTCAAAGGCGCAACTGTTCATTGCAGCGTAAACAATAACGACGACAGTAGCGACGATAACCACTAAAGACACTTTGTTTTAATGCCACTGTCATGTAAACATAATTAAAGATACTATTTTTCTGCAGTGCTACAACATTTTTTCTGCGGTCAAAATCGAAAATTCCACGAGATTTCTGCCGTGCCGACATAAGATTCATCGCTTTCCCCGCGAAGACTAAATTATACAGAAATCTTGGTACGTTCACCCACTATATACATCTCAGTTATATTTCAAAACAGAGGAATTAAAATAAACCCAAACAAGGGGTTGCGACGCTCATCTGACACAACATTTTGTAGGCCCTATGGTTCCATCCACCGTCTACCGAATTCACAGGAGTGCTTAGATAACGATCGACAATGTCTCCCTATTCTGGAGTTCTTTCATGCACCAAGGAGCTGGCCTGTCTCCACATTTTCCCTATACAGTTCTACCACTTCGATAGATTAGCCATTCGGCTGCCAAAGCTGCGAAGCAAGCCAAGCCTGGAACGTCTGTTTGGATATCTTATCATTCGTTTAGATCTTCGACTGACGTCCATACATTACTTTCTGTTGTGGTTCGGGCTGAATGTACGGCTAACCTGCTACGACCGCACAACCGACCGTCGCCAGGAAGTTGTGGTTTCCGTTAAATGTACGGGTAACCTGCCTGAATCTGCTGTGCCGCCCCCAACCCGTCGTAACGAGACTGGACCTTAACGTGG